CTTTTTTTTTTTTTTTTTTTTCTAAAATACATGCCAACACTGGACTTATTTTTCCTTGACTCTCGAAAAACATGAACATAGAACACAGCATGTGATATAAATTAATACACACACGACAACCATATCCCCAAATCCGATGAATCAAATTATTTAATTAAGTGCTTTCAGTTGCTGAAGTTCTTTTGATGGATATGTTCATCTTTGATCCCACACCAGATGAGTTTAAAATCATACAATGAGGCTGGCAAGCTAAGGTTTTTTTTCCCGCATTTGAATTGTATGTAACTGATGGAAGATATTCTCCGCATTGAAGAAGGTTAATGTATACTTTTTTAAATACATTCTTTAATACATTTTTTTAAATTAATTTTTAAAATATTAAAAAAATTTATAATATGTTTAATCATAATAATTATTAGATAAGTACTTTAATTTTTAAAAAGTTCACTAACACAAAAGTATATTAACAAATAACAAGTATATATATTGATAATATTTCATCTTTGTTTCGCATGGTGCATGTACAACTCGGCAATTCATGTACTTGCATATGTTAAAATTCTCATACGAATTTTCTAATCATAATTGAGGAAGCTTTTCACCGATTGTATCTTGCTTTGACTAATTCTCCCCTCCTTGTGTTGTTTTAATGAGAAATGGATGCAAATGCCATGCATAGCTTTCTTTTATGTTGGATTCAACTTAATGCCAATCATTATTTGTCCAAGTGTGGATTCTCATGCCATACTCTACAGATCCGTCTTTGGCCAGCTTTCAAATATGCCTTTTGAAATTCAACTAGCTTGGATTGCATGCTCAATTCTGCCGATAAAGACTTTTGAACAATTATCTACACGACAAAATTTAGGTATACTTATTTATTTATTTTTAGTATTATTTTTAAATAAACTTAAAATGTCACATTATTAATAAATTTTGAGTTTAATGTCTATCTTTATTATATAAGTTATTAAACTATAATTTTAATTAGAGTAACATTAAAAATGTTTAAGATATTTATTAGAATTTTAAATGAGTCTGATAAAAAATAAGGAAGAATAATTGCACTTCTTTATTTAAAATGTTTTAAGCAATTTAGAGTTATGATTCTCCTCCTTATATACATATTTTTAATCTTTGCTACAAGTTTATATATATTTTCTGCTGGACCTTTTATTATTTTATATTAAAATTTTGAATATGAATTTGATGCAAAAGTGAGAGAAAGTGATTAAATTATAAGAGATCTACTTGTCTAAAATGTTTTAAGCAATTTAAAGTCATGACTTTCTTATTTATATACTTTTAATTTGTTTAACCCATTAATATAAGACCTTATTATCTTAATAATATTATGCTTAATTTTATTATTATCCGAATCGATGGATGATACTACGGTAGGTACAACTTCATCGAAAAAAAATTGAGATGTTAAGCACCAAGGGATTGTGGTATTTATACAGGTAATTAGATTTTCATTTTCTTGTGTTGCATATATTATATATAAGGGAAACTTGAGTATGATTTTTTTTTTTAATTATTGATAAGAAACATAATAATAAAAATTATTATAATATACATGCGCATATATATATATATATATATATATATAATTAAAATAAGCTGTATGAAATTATTAATTTTTTAATTAATTATTTATAATCCACAATTTATATTGTACGTTACTAAAAGATTACAAGGTCTCCCCCTGATTATGTACATCTTACTATATTCGTACACTTATCATGGCATGACTTCCCATTCCTCCGGTGCCTAATTCTTGAAAATCTATCGATCTTTTATCAGTAAACAAAATTCAATGGCCTTAGAAACGTAAATGGATTTTCTAAGTGAACGCTACATCATACAACTCTGTCAATTAAATTATATAAATTTAGTCCGTAAGGAGACAACCATATTCTGTCACATATTCTGCATTTGGAAACCAAGTAAAGACTTGTATACGTACTAGGTTTTGTTTTTTTTAATCTCCTGTTTTCGGCTTCGATGTGCTAGAGAATGAAGTTGTTTGCCATAGACATCTAGTATGGTAGCTATCTTTGCTGTGAGAAAGTTGAAAAGAACCATCTCTGCTAAAAGTGATTAAGATTAGACAGTTTTTTTTTTTTTTATTTCCTGCAACTATTCTTTTTTAACCGTATAAATTTCAATATATGATCAAATATATTTTAATATCCAGAAATATACATACACGAGAATAAACTGAAAATATAATATTTGTAAATATCCAGAAAATTAATTATTTTTGTCCTAGGGTACATATGCATGACATTCTATTGAAGGTTGAATTTCCTATGAGAAATGATGCGCTCATTGGATTGGATATTACGCTATATATTTAGCAGTTTTTGCTTACCTCTTAAGCTTACCGTGTTAATGTGTTTCTCATCCTCTACAATTACACATGTGGGTATGCTTATGGGCAAATTAAGTTCTAATTAACCAGATCAAAGGCAAAGGCACAATGTTTACTGCAGTATGAGGGAGAGGAAATGCAAATAACCATTCACGATATAGCTCTCTGCTAAGCTCCCTTTGGTTCATAATCACTTGCAATGCATCAGCATCTATTGTTCTTGCGAATTATATTGTTTCATTTTTCTTCTTCAATTAGGAAGTGTAAGGTATGATTTGACTTGAATTCAGGTACAATATCATCATTGAAACACGGCCCACAAACGTGAGAGAGGCACAGGAGGGGCCATGCATGTGATGCTTATAACTCCCACAGCCCACTGGAATGGATTTGAAAGCAAATGGGTCCTGGGATTTTTTTATGAGCTTCCAACTTAATAATACGAGTAACTAATTAAGCACATTCGACCAAAAGAAAAAAGGGACAAATATAACAAAAATAAAATAATATAAAAGAGAATTTCAATACTTCTTTTAGCACCGTTTTGTGCCTACATGTGTGTTATATGCTAGGAAATAACTATTATTCTTTGTCACGGGTAACAATAGTTTTGCTTCTTTTAGGTCCCTTTTTTCCTTTAGGACTTGTTTGAATAAAAAATGATTTAGCTAATGATTATGAAGAAAATTCATTTACTTTTTCATGAAGCGCGCATCACATGAGTTTAACTCAGATTAAGGTGGGTAGGAAATAGAGGTAACGCCATCATTGTGTTCCAGCATTTTGAGTCTTGTTAATATACTCCAAACAAGTTTCTGAAACTGAAGTGAACGTCATTAGGGTAATATGTGAATGAATTTAATATGGAATAATATAACTTTTAAAAGATTTGCGAATACAAAAGAAGTGCTATCCTCAAAGTATGGAATATATATTAATGAAGAAATTATATATCACATATACGTATAATTATAAATAATTTTTTATTCCTTTTTAATATTTATGGTAAAAATTATATACAGGAAGGTTGGATTTTAATCATTTTATTTAAAAATTATATATATATATATATATATATATATATATATATATATATATATATAAAGTGTGTGTGTACGTACTTCATACACATTTATTACGAAAAAAAGCATAATCATGAATATATCAAGCTAACATATCGTATGGGCTCATTTATGTACCACGATTGAACATCACCCGCATCCATGCATCGTAAAATTGGCACATTTTTTGTCATAAGTTGTGTGATTTATTCCTTATTGTTAGTCAGTTCGTATACATACTAAGTTAAACATTAAAGTGCTTTTTCCACGTACATTCCTTTATTGTACGTATTACCAATCCTTCATGCTGATTTTACAACAATATTTTTAAACTATTCAAACTAGTAATTATTGGATTCATAAAAAATATACATTAAATATTTAGAAAATCATATATACAACTTGCATGCATGTAGGTGCACATGTACATTCCCGTAGGGTAGAGTGTTCTACCTTGACATGAGACCAAGAAGTTACTTGAATCTTGTTGGCACCATTTGCATAGGCTTAATGTGGTTGGTGTGGAAGAAACTGAGTAGGAAAGAACGAATAATTCTCAAGCAAAATTCATCATTGAATTTGTCTTGAAGCCAAATATCATGCGCTTGATGAATCCAACACTTTGGTAATGATCTTCAAACGTATCCTCCAAACAGTTAATTGAGGTTGAAAAACAAAACTGTTCAGTGGTGTTAGAGATTTCTAATTTCATTTCAAGTCTTGTTCACTTGGAGGGAGCTTCATTAATTAGGAGCACAATGGAGGTTATCTTTCTTTCTTCATTTTTTTAAAAGAAGAACTTCTTTTGTATGAAAAATCAAGCGATAACACAACCTGAAAAATTTCCATACTTAAACTCTCTAGCTGTGTCGATTTAAACGTGGAGAGGAAAAGGAAGAATTTTGAAAATTAAAAAGAAATACTTTGTAATTTAAACAATAAAAAAATGAAGTATAATTTAATCAATGAAATAAAGTCAATTACATTCCATTTGATTCTGTTTAATTTTAAGTAACCAAAATCGTAATAACCGATAACATTCCATTCAGTTTACCTCATCTTCTATCCTCTTTCACCGTTTCAAAAATAAAAAATGTTACTAACACTCACTTCACCTATGCAACTGTAACACAGTTTTTTAATATACTATTTTAGAAATATTTTCAGATAAAATTCATACGAGTTCACATATTAGGAAGTGAAAAGTATGAGAGTTTACATAATTTGGTGAGCTTCAACTAAGCCTCTTCAACATGCCTTTTAAATACTGAAAATTATTTTAAAAGTGATATATATTTTCAACACAATTAAATTACTTTTTAAAAATAAAACCCGGATTAAAGAAAAACATATTAAAGTGCTATAATATAAGGTTTTATAAGGGAAGAAATATTGGGCTTTTTTGGGGCCTGGGGTCTTTCCCACAATAACCATGACATCTTTCAGAAAAAACAAACCCACCGAGGGTTCAAACAAGTAAGCATTAAAGGGCCAAGCCCTACCACTACGGTCTGCAAATCAGACGGTCCTGGTTCGATCACGCAGCCACCATATTCCCTGCGCACAGCACCACTACACCTTCGGTGCTCCAACGTTTCGACATCAACGCAAAAATCATCGTGCTATTTCACTTCCACCGTAACCCTCTCCATCTCTCTTTCTTCAATAATAACCTGAATCCTGCGCTGCAATCTCCACACGAGTTCCTCCTCTATATAGCATCCTGGTTTGGTCTCCATTACTGCTTCAAGTCGCGGTAATGAGATTAGGGTTAGGGTAACTCCTCACGATTTTCGATTGGTTCTATTGATGCCTCGCGTGCGAGTTGGTGTATTCGTGTCGTGGCTGCAAAATTTTTGGCTTAATTTATAGTTTAGGGTTTGCGTTGTCGACATGTCCGATACTTCGAGGGGTCGTGTTACTATTACTCTTGGTCGTAGCGGTCAGGTAGTTTGAAATCTATTCTAATACAAAACTTATTTGTGTACTTTCTGCAGCTTTGGTTCTGTTTTTTTTTTGGTTGTCTGTGTGCGGATTTCTACTTGCTTGATCGAATAGTATTCTGGGAAGTTATCAATGATTATGACATTTTACTTTTTTTGTTTTCAGTTTCTGTTTGGCATGACTTTGTGCTATTACTTTCTCTTTTTTGTTTGCTAAATTTGTTTATTAGGAAAGGAATGCAGTGTAATTTTTATTTTCTTACTTTTTCGGGATATAGAGTTTTGCTCTGATATATCATGAGTGGGATATTTGGATTCATGTACATGACCTGGTTTTTTACACTTGAGTTTAGGTTGTGAAGAGGGATATATCTGCTGCAGATGTTTCTTTCTCTTCTCTTCCCTCAGCTGGCACTAAGCGGTCTGTAAGAGACAGAATTGGAAATAATGCAGATAGTTCTGTGTGGCATGGAAATGGACTTGGTAGCAATAAACGGTGTGTATGTGTTCTTTGTTTTTGTTTTTTTGGTATCTATGGCTACTGTGTGCGTATGAGTTTCACAAAAATAAAAAATTGAATGTGTTTTGGGTTTTTATATATATATATATATATATATATATAGAGAGAGAGAGAGAGAGAGAGAGAGAGAGAATAGGCTGCCTTTCTGTATGGTTCAATTGAAATAAGCTTTCATGAATTTTTCTGTTCATATTGTCTGCAGTCATCGAGGAGATATAAGTGTGCAAAATGGACTGGATGGCAGTAAGCTCCGTTAGCCACCAATGCATCTTTATGTTACTCGATGGTTTTTATATATCTAATGTTGTTTCTCTTAATTTACTTATATGGGTATATTTATGAAGATGATCTCCGATTGAAGCTCATGCAAAAAAGCGCATCTAGGCAAGGTGATAGCAATGGCAGTAAGAGGCATACAGACCTCCGTGAAAAACTTTCAAAGGCAGTTCACCCTATGCCAAACAGCTATAATTCAAAGCAGCATGTACCAGAATCCAGGGAAGCAAGCTTGATGAGGCAAATTCCTTCGGCTAGAAGTTCTGATGATTTACTGCGAATGGAATCCATGAGAAGCTCATACTCTCCTTGGACATTGGATCATTTTAGGCGAAGATCACCAGATGGGTTTCCCAGTACTTCCAGGGGGATTTCACCTCAGAGGGATGTCCAAGACCTCAGGCGAAGGCCATTAAACAGGTCATATGATGGTGTCAGATCAGTTCCATATGTAGCTAGGGATGTTCTCGAAACCTCGAGGCCTCCAGTAAGTGCACCTGCACCTGCATCTTTTATGTCACGTTCCACAATGTCCACATTACCTCCAGTAACTGCCAAGCCTGTAGCATCGCATCCTGGCCAACTTCCTCCATCAAGCAGTGTTGCACAAAGGGCTTCATATGTGGTGAATATTACTTATCTTCTGATCTCTAGATCTCCTTTTTCTCAACTCTTCCTTTTGTGTTACTGGGAGAAACATTTCCCATCACCATCTGATGGATATCTTTGTTGATTCTGTTATTCCCTTTTTGCTATATGCTAGGGAATTGTTTATGAAAATATAACCTATTGACATGACCTAATTAGACTTGTAGAAATGGTTCACGTTAACTAACTTGATATTTGATCCAATATATTAAATGTTGTACAATTTGCACTGTCAATAATTTGAAAAGCTGACCTGAAATTGTGCCATGGCAAAGAATCTGCTACAATGAACTTGGCATTGCAATGGATAACAGCCAAAAACATGGCTGAGGTAACCCATAGCATTGTGTGGACAATGGATAGCTGCCAAAATTTTGGCTGAATTGCGGAGGATAGCGTTGCTGTTTGCTATACCAACAGGCAGTAAAAATCAACTTTTTGTTCCCCTGCTTTCTTAGATCAATAAGTCATTTTTAGTGTTACTTTTATGATTTCATGTCCTTTTCTCTTTCAGAACCATTTTAGGGTTGAAATTCATTTATTTTGACAAAATCTAGTTGCCCATCTCTTCTGATTTTTCTGTCAATCTCCCAGCCAGTGACGCATTTTCTAGCTATGCCTGGCTGTTTCCTAGCGTAGGTCAGCACTTCAATCTGCAATCCCTGTTCCGACCTTCCTCTGTTAGCCTCTGTGTACACTTTGCTGGCCAGTTTCCTTCCTCTGTCCTGTTTCTGTCTTCTTCTGCCCTGTTTGCAGACACTGTTGCATGATGTGATTGCCCCAATCAGTGTTATTGTGTCAGTAATTTTTACGGTAATATGCACATCAAAATGTCAACGAGTCTTATTTTTCACTAACTTGTTGATTATACCTTAATTTTGAATTTTTTAAATTTGAGCATTAACATATTTGTTCTATAAGCTACTTGCATTGCATCTGCTATCTTTGGCATAACACCATACCACTATTTGCTATCCTACTACAACATTTCTGGGTTTGGTTGCTCTGCACCACTATCCAGGATTAACTAATATGATTTGCCCTTCATTTTGGATGTTGTCTAAGGCCTAATGTTGTAGATTTTCTGGTTGTTAGCTGATTTTGATCAGTTGATTTAGATGTTCTTCTAAAAGATTTTCTTGGTCTGGACACCAATGAGAATGTATGCTTAAATATGATGATCTGATTCTTTGGCATAAAGTCTGGTGGCAGTTTTTCACTCCAAAAAAAATAAAGAGAAGATCCTGATGATGGTCATATGTAGCTTCCTTGTAGGAGATGTGGTGGTCAAATAATTAATTGTATTATTTTGCATTGTTTTATTGCTGGAATGTTGGTTTAGTTATAACTCTTTAAGTGATGAACTGACTAACTATGAGAAGATAATGGGTTCTGTTAATTTCATGAGAATGATTTTGCCATTCGTTATGTGAGAACCACGGTGATTTCAGAGGAATGATCATATTCTAGGAAAGACAAGTTTAGTTGCAGCTCTTGTTTAGTTTCTGCATTAATCTGTTGCATTCCTCCTCTTTAATCTTCATCCCAGACTAGTCCAGCTTTTTGAAAATAAGAATGCTTCCCTTGTTTTCACATGCTTGATTGACAGTGGAGGAGAAAAATGTCCTTGCAGTACTGACCATGTTACAATTCTGCAAAGTAGAAAAATACATGCTTGTTTTCAGTCAATATCAATGTTTAAATAACAATTAAAAGATGTGCTAAATTTAAAATAAGAGAATTTACACCCACATGCATGTGTGTCAAGACTTCAGGTTTCCTTAAAAGGGATATTCTGGACATTTAGGGTGTCTTTTAATGGAGGAGTTTAAAGTAGAATGGAGGAGGAGGAAATTTTTTCTTTTTAAGTAAACATTGTTCTTGCTCTAAATCTTTTTTTAAACAAGGAATAAAATGTAAGATTATCATGTAACCTTAATCATTTTTAAAACATAAAAAGAGTTTACATTTTGATACACTATGAATGTAAATACTTTTACTATCAATCACAAAAGTCAACAATCTTCAATGATATGACAGTTCATGATTAGTTGAGTGTAAAAAAACTTACATCATCAGTAATTTCAATTAAATCCTATATAATAATCCTCTAAGTTTAAATAGAAATTTTACCTTCCCATCTTATCCCTTCAATTACTCGCTCAATTTCTGTTGTTATCAAGTCTTTTTTTATGGTTTTGCTTTCCTTTTCCGCCAAGGTATAATCTTATGATCTACCATAATGCTTGTTGTGTTCTTTACTCCTGAAGCTCAAAGCTTGAGTTTTGGAATCAAGTAACTCTTCTGAAATGTTAATTGACTAGTACTTGTTGGCTTTGCAATTTATAGTAGGGTTGGAAACTTTTAACTCTGCACATAAACACCACTGTGTATTTATCTTGTACTGGTTCAACATAAACAGGAATGGGTCAAAAGAGGGTTAACTCCCCAGACATGAATAGTAAATGAGTTGAATCTGGGTTGAGCCTACAAACTCAAACGTATCCATTCATATAAATGGGGGTATAAACATGTCAATCCATACACCTTTACCTATATGTACCCTTTTAATTTTACATCTGATGACTGTTTTGCCATTGTCCATATAACTTTAAAAGTTTTGTGGATGAAGAAACTAATATTGGTAATCCTAGACAGAAAGAAATCGCACAAACTTTAAACTTGTCCTTTCAATTACTTCGTTCAATTTCCATCTTTTGCGGTGTGTCATCTGTGTCCCAAATGAAATTGGGAGAGTAGAACCACCACAAATTAGTAGACATGAGATTTCAATGTTTTATGAATTTTTTTGGCTATTTATGTCAAAGCTTTTTTATCTGTTTGACAATTATTTTGTTTTATGAACTTGTGTTGATTAAACAGGTAGAGTCAAAGTCAAAGTCAACAAGTTAATAAAGATTTTAACCATAGTTATCAATCTAGGATAACGATGCATAGTAGACAGCCCCAAAAACTGCTATACAGGGATTGGGGAAGTGGGAGCTATTTTAAATCATAGTTAACAATAGCGGCCGCTATCGCAGCGTAGTGGAGTGGAGCGGCGCAGTTCTCCTATGGCAACCCTGTAGCGTTGCGGTTCAATGTCGCGGCTGTCACGCCGCGAATAGCAGCTGGAAATCGCGGCTGTAGTGGCTGCTATTCTGTTCTGCTTAAAAATTCTGAATTTGCCCTTTGTATTTTTTACATTTGGGGCTTTTGGGGGGGGGTAATATTGGGATTTCAGCCCCCCTTTATTTTCTGAATCTTCTCCCTCCCTCTCGCAGAGCCTAGCCCCTTAACTCACCTTTCAACTCTCTCCTCAGCTCTCCTCTCATTTCTCCTTTCATTTCTTCTCTTTTCTCTCTCTTTTTTCTGTTTCTTTCTCTGTTTTGATTCCCTTACTTTGTTTTGTTTCAAATTTCAAAGCTTCAAGTAGAAGCAATGGCTGCTCCTGCACCCTTTGCTTTTTATTATTTATTTCCTTAACTAATTTGAGTTTTTCTTTTGTTTTGTTCCAATTTGTATATTAATTTTATATTTTTCAGCATGTATGTGTGTGCATTAAAACTCAGAATAGCGGTCATCCTGCTACTGCTATCCCCTCTTTAGCGTTTTTGAGATTAGCTGCTTCGCGCCACTATTCGGGATTGACTACTATGTTTTAAATATTATAATTATAATACAAATTAAATAATTTATACCTCATGTATGAATACTCAAACAAAAAATTACAGAAGTTTGTGATAAGTAACATGTCTTAGTCTACACACAATCACCATCAATCTAGGAGAAATAAGAATATAGGAATGAAATCAAAAAATGAAAAATGATGTTGAAATCAGAAAAAATAAAGTGTAACATATTCAATAAAAAGTAGGAGAATGTGAATTGTGAAGTTTGAAGGAAGAAGGAACAGAACACAAAAAATGGACCTGTAAAGTGTGAAGGAAAGGAAGTCAAAAGTCAAATCAGACCTACTGTGATTGTGTGAATGACTGAGGTAGAAGTGTTTCAAACCCTATAATGTCTCTGAAGCGAAAGATCCATTAGAAAATGGGGGAGAAATCACAATCATACCCCAAAAAAGGTTGCTGTTTCTGGGCTAAAAATGTTTCTCCCTGCTATACTGCATGAAAAGCCACTGCTGAAAACCACCGCTGGAATCATGTAGCATCCTAGGTGGCTCCATTATAGCGTCCTATTGACTACAATGGATTACACAAATGGCTTTATTTGTCGCATGTTTGACACCATTAATAATTTTTAAATCAGTGGTGACAAGATCAACCCTGTAATAAAAAGAGTAGGAGTAAATAAAGTCAGCCCCTGTGCTTGAAAGATATAACATTTGTCACCCAATAATGAATGAGAGAAATTACTTCTGTGGTAGTGAATCAAATTAGTTCATAAATGTGTATTCTGATTTCTAATGCCTAATAGTCAAATTAGTCCCTTAGTTTCTGAACATGAGGACTGACTTGACTAAAGAAGAATGCTCATTATTGGACTAGTATGATAGAGATCCGAAGAACATGCTGAATAAAAGAGAATTTTATGGAAATTTAAAAGACAGCTCAAAGAACTATTACAGCTGAAGAGATAAGGGAAATCAGAGCCTAAGCAGCTCAAAGAACTATTACAACTGAAGAGATAAGGGAAACCAGAGCCTAAGGTCCTCAGAGAAAATATTTTATGTCCAAAAAATATACCTAACAAACTATATATTCATCACGCACACTACCCTCACTCCTGCTAACCTCCTAATACCCTCCTTGTGCATCCCAAGCTTCTCACCTGCTACCTCATTTAACGAACTCTTTCTAGAATATTCTCTCTACATTTAGGCCCTTTTAATTGTTGATCCAATGTCTCAGTGATACCTTTTCTTACAAATATGCCACAGTTCATATCATTTGACTATTACAGAGTATTAGGATTATGTGATGTGAATTCTATATCATACCTCATTCCTCTAACTTACCTAATTTGACTTGTTGATATGATTGAACATCCTAAGTTTATGGCATAGGCATTTTAGATAAATAATGAATGAACCTAATATTGTTTTTGAAAACTAGAAGGCTTATACTAGAGAAACACTTGTTTAGCAAAACAAAAATTCCATCAATACACATTGTAGTGAATACTTTTTGCGTTAATGCTTATGCTTGTCTGGTTTTTGCTTATGCACAAATTTTTGCTCTCTGCTGTCCATGGAGAAATGTTAGCAACCTTTTATAAGTTGATACTGTTTGTCAACATGCTTGATTTGTATGTTCTGTTGAGCTCCCAATTAAACAATTGGAGCAACATTAGAGTTAAAATTGGTGTCTGGACGACAGAACTTTTAACTAATGGAATTTATTTAAATCTAAATTTTTTTATAATTTTATGGTTTTGCTTGGTATCTTTTCATCTTGAATGCAAGTTATTCTCAACACTACACAAATTAGAGTTTAGGGGATTGAACATGCATTTATAGCAATATAGCACATGTCCAGAGACATATGCTCAATCCATGCTTTGATCTTGGAAACCTTGTGGCGTAAAAACACATAATTTTCTTCTGTCAAATTCTCTGAATAGATTATGTATAAAGTACATCCTGACATGTTACTTTGCTGGTTATCATGTAGAGTGATGAACAGCAATCACACCAAACTGTGGATGGCCTGTTGCATGCACTGGGACTTGGAAAATATGCCATTCTTTTCAAGGCTGAGGAAGTACGTTACTCATTATTTATGTAAATGATTATTTATATTATCCTGGTATTTTTTTTTTCTGAGGACATGTGTTGTGATTGGTTTAATGATATGTAAAAATTATTTACTTATTGTCTGCTACAGGAAATCTACCCTAGAAAATTATTGGAAAAGACCATTTTATAAATCAAGAGATTTATTGTCCTCTGGGCCTATATTGAGTATTTTGCCACTTGATTTAATTCTTGCTTTTTGCTTCAGGATGGTTTGGTTCATTTTTTTGTCATTGATGGATGAATTCTACTATTCTGTTTCCATTTTTCAGGAAGTATGTTTCCAGAAATTACTAACTTGTATAATGCTCTTCCATGTTTAATATAATGATAACATCACCGAGAATTATAGTTCTAATTTCAGATTAAACCTAGTGTTTCCTATAGTAGATTATCTGTAATTTCTAATGGTTATTGACATTTTGTATTCATGCTTCATAATGTGCATGTTTCATGTAAGGTGCGTAAATTGGGAGGGAATGCTACCTGTTAAAACATTACGGGAAGTATCATGCCTGCATTTTGTAAATACTTCCAGGTCTCCTTTCTTAACTTGACATACAAACACGCCTGAGGGGGGAATGTTGCACTGATTTAAACTTACCTCTTAAATAACAGCAATTGAACTTAGTTCTTATTATTCTGCAGTGATTGATAAGTTTTTAGCTTCAATTAACATTTAGACAGTGCCATACTCTTGCTGAACTTGCTTGTAGATAAACCAGCTTTGTTTTGTGTTAGTGCTCAAGTGATCATATATTATCTTATGAGATTTTTATATATTAGTACAGAAGTATGTTTTCTCTAATACGGCAGTGCTGGCTATCTTATGCACTGATACATTTATACAGGTTGATATGACTGCATTAAAGCAGATGGGAGAAAATGACCTCAAAGAGCTTGGGATACCTATGGTAATTTTCCTTCCTGTTTTATGTGGCATATGTTCAGGTGGTGTTCAATGAGGCTTACTGTTGAAAGTGAATGTTACACTAAATATATGGATTTAGGCATTTTATAGTGATGTTATGTTAGACGATATATTGATTTTAAGTTCATGATCCTTAATTTTTCACCCATCATCCATAATTTACAGTTATATTGTGTTTAATTTTGCATTAATAAATTCTCTTTCTCTTGGTTATTAGCATTTTGCTATTTTTCTGGAAGACATAATTTTTCCTCATATTTTGCCATCTAAATCTCATGAAAGTTAATAGTGCAGGTATTCTGCTTGTCTTTATTTCATGTCTTGTTGCTTTAACCACAAAATTCTCAATAATAAAGAATGCATTGAAGATGTTATTGAAAATAATGTATTACTGGCATTTTTTGTGATTGTGTTTTTGTTTGTACACTATTCGATTACGTAGTGATATTTGTCTCATGGAGGTTGCTTGGGTTGCAGGGTCCAAGGAAAAAAATTCTTCTCGCTCTCTTACCTCGTAACAAACGTCAACAATGATTGATATATATCCTGCTTGATGCCGAAACTGACACATTGTTGGATCACCAGTTTTTTTATATACATACAATTTGGGTGATAGTAAAGCACAGATCTGAGAATTTTTATATAACATCCCTCGTCCCGTCAGGGGTTCGAGTATCCTTTGTATCGACTATCGCTTTTTTGCATTCGAGAACAGGTTCGGCTTAAAAATCTCGTTTGTTGGAAATATTGATCTGTCATATATACTGTTTGTACTTTTTTTTTAATTGAAAGTAATAGGAAATTGAATCAATTTATCCGAAGTCAAGGTTTATCGATATGTATCATTTGTCTAAACAATTGAGTAAAGTTTTATGGCGTCAGCAAAATATGTTGAATCTTTTTTCATACCATCATTCTACCAATTTGCGTACCATCTCCAACGACAATGTGAATGAGGAGCAGCAAAATCGTCAAAGCCCAAGACATTCATGTTACACTTGCCATTATCCTTCTATTGTCTCCAACTACCTGTTCAAAACGTGTCTTGCTTTCGGTCTCAAAAGTTTCTTTGTGGAAAACACAGTTGCTGCAAGGTTAACTGATAATTTATTGCTTTTTAGAAATATATGTTGGGCTCAACAGCGTATCTCAAAGTTTGCTGCGGATCTTCACTTGCTCTACTTTTTCCTCACAATGGAAGACATCATCGCATGTCGGTGAGCACCCACCCAATGAAAATGAATTTTGGTAGTTAAAAGTAAATCTTTCTTTAGAAAATGTTGGTTGCACGTTATCGAATTATATCTCGTGTGGTTTCTAGAACAAGTACTGTGCTTATGTTTTTTGGTGCATCAGGTGTTACGGCACTATACAAAATCTGTCTTTTGTCCCTGCCCATTGAAGGTATTTTTCACAATGGTATATTCTTAAATTCACGATGGTCGTTAAAAATGAAAAAAAAATTGTCATTTTAAAGAATTTGAAAGTGTAGACCATATTATTCCTTGGGTATTAGATACACGATCATTAAAAAATGATTATCGACAAACATTTTAAATCCCTTAATAATCAAGATGAGGTTTTAAGAGTTGTTTAATTGGAGATTATATTTTTTTAAAAAGTTTAAATAATTACCCAAGCTGTCTAAGTTACTTTAATTTCCGTTGGCTTTTATAATTTGTTTCTGTTTATTCTCTTTGAAGACCTTTTAAAATGCATGAAAGAAACGGAACTTAGGTTAGCAGTAGTTTAACATTGACCCCTTTATTCCTTAGCTTGTTGCCACTTGCCATGATTACTTTAGCGGAGCTATCTCAGGTTCTGATCTAGTGGGAGCAAAGCCATCGAAAATTTGTTATTTAATTATTTATATATTTCTCTCTGCGTTTGTGCGAAATTGCACCACTAAATAAAACTGAAATTTATTATTTTCCAACTAACAATATTTTTTTACCTGTTCATTTGAGATGAATGACCACGAGAGTTCGTCGTAGCCATTGTACCCAAACAACCGACATGAACCTAGAGAAGGCGAACAGTGTACAGTTAGCTAACTTATTGAGTTTCAACAGTTTGTGACAATGTTGCATTCCCTTGGAATACTGCTTTTTAACCTAACTACCCTATGGATAAATAAATTGCGATTGAAATCGTTGAAAGGAAAGGACATATCGTTGCCCACAAGCCAGATCATCTTAAAGTATCTCATGACAACTTCTCACGAATTGTTAAAAATAATTTTATATAGTATAATATATTTTTTTATAATGTGACATGATCCATACAGCCGAATTTACCTAATTGTTATAATTTAATACACTTTTTGTATTGTTATATAAATTTTATGTTTTAAATAACTTAATTACTCTTTCACTTTAGATCAAGTAACTTTGAAAATTTTCTTTTCACAATTTGTATATTTGAAGAATAAAAAAGTTATCATTCTTTTCTGTCTTATTATATTACTTCAAACAATTCAATTAATTGTTTACTCTAAGTAATTCTAAAAATTTTCTTAAATAAATTGTACAATTTATCTCACATTTATATGAGCCAATAAAATATAGTATATAATTTTAAAAAACTATGAGATCCATAAAAAAATTAAAGTTATAAATATTTTTCTCGGTGCTCTCAATTGACAAAATAATCTTAACATTTAAATATTAAAAGTGTCAACATTCATTTAATATTATTTAATTTTTCTTATTTCTCTCTTTTCATTAATCGTATTATATACCATGATCCAGTTGGAATAAACACTTAGAGAAGTTCTTGTAGAAGAAAAAAAATATTTTTTTAATAAGTTAAAAATAATTTATCTCTTCAAATTTTAAAGAAATTAAATGAGAGGTTTTTTATAACTTTTAAAAATTAAAGCAATATAAGTTTTTTTTTTTAACTTATGGGATATATATATATACCTTCTTTGTAAGTTTACCTAAACTTGATTTATATCTATTATTTCTTTCTTCTATTCCTTTACCTCACAAAATTCATAAAGACCAATGTTCAATTCCTTAACCTTAGATGGAAACAAGGGTAGCTCTTGGCAAACTCTTTTTCTAGATTGTGGATACAATAATGGCTTGATGGTGCCGCAAAGAAAGGGAAGTATTTTTGTAAGACTCCAAAGCTTACGTTAGAAGGAATTCTCATAGAAAGTTTTTAATAAGGCTAGAATGAATGTACTTAAGGTTTTAGTGTCTCTCCCTTTATATAGGTGTATGTTGTCTCGTGTTTTGATTTTCCATCATTATCGAATGACAAAGGTAATATGATGGAAATGAACATTTACCCGAAACTTTGTGTCTAAACCCTTTAATAATTAAAGGTTAGATGCACAAATTATGCTGACTAATACAATGTCTTGAAGGAACTTACATACTATACCTTTAAGAGTTATTGGTCCTCAATTAGTCCGAAATTAATTATCCGTGGTGAAAAAATTGTGTATGGTGCGCGATCTAGGTTGGACCGTTGAGTAACTTTATCACAATTCTCCTTTTAGCCTTCGCATGGGTCAATTAGTGAAGTTCTTAACATGTAATAGTTTCATTCAAAATGGTTTATGATGTCATTTTTCACAGTAATCCTATAAATTTAAGTCCAATCACTTTAGAACATGAATTCCTTGATCTACGACGGCTAAGGGTTTGAGGGATTAGCTTTTAAGTTAGGGCCTTGCAAGTTAGCAACAGAAACAAGGTTGAATCTTCTGGGTTGTCGCATCAACTTTTAATGCCCAAGTGCATTTGATTTATGTGTACTGTATCAAGCAAACATTTCAACTTAGTATGTCCTTTCTCTAAAGAAACATTTTTATCGTTTAATTGATCTTACATGACTGCATTATCATAATTCCATATATAAGTTTTCTTTAGTCAGTTTTGGCATTCTATTAGGTCTCATAAAAAATTAGAAAACCACTTTAGATTTGTCCAAAAGCAAGGGCAACATCCAGTGGGGGGAGAGCAAGGTTGTGTTATCTGATGGGTAGGGACCACGGTTTGATATTCTCAAACCAACGTGTAATGAAATGGAATTAGATGAAATTAATCAATCAATCATCCAACCCACCCACTTAGCCACCATAACCCAATCTTCTCCCTCATGCTCTCTTTTTATTCCACATGTTAGGATAGTGAAATGCTAGATGACAGCATGCCTACTTGGAATTCTCCTCCTAAAGCAAGAAAAGAAAATTTAATAAGCTTATAAATAGCGAAAAAGGAGTGGGAATTGATGATTATGAGAGATTTATTGGTGGAAGAAGTCAACCAATGGAAGATCTAGTTAGAGACAATGGAATAAAACACAATCTAATGATTTCTAAATTGTCCCAAAAGCAACAGAGTGTGGGTCCAACTAGAACAACTGTCCAACGCAAATGCCTAGTTTATTTATAGAATATTATTATAGCTCATGACTTGATTCACCTGAAAATATAAGTTGTATAAAATATAGGCTTTGCCTGCTCTAAGAAGATATGCCCAGATCTTGTGGAAGACTCTTATTAGTATATATGCTTACATCATTGCCCACTTCTTATATTCCTTTTTTAAGCTTCTACTCCTTCTTTTCTATTACAAGAGCATTCATATAAAAATAACATGGTCAAGAAAAACATATTAAGGGTCTTTTAAATGTGATTGCGGGTGCAGGGATAATTACAAAGAAGCTTTATTTATTGCTGAATAGTTACATTTTTACAGATGTTAGCATTTTATGAATAACGTCAATTGCATTAACTCTAGTAGATGGGACTCAGCTATAGCTTAGCATCCATTACAGTAATATTCATTTGGCAATCTATATAATATATGATTAGCTTTGGTAGAGGACAATACATGAAGCAACAAAGTCATTGGCTGGTCACTAAAATAATTAGATATGCATTTTAGTACTGTAGTAGACATGTTATGAAGTTAGTGCCCCTTTCCTTCCAGATGATCACATCCCCCTTTCTTTGACTTTTTGCAGCTACAGTTAGTTTAATAACTTTAATCATGTCTTGGGCATGGAATATGTCTCTTTTTTTATAAAGGAGAAAGCCAAGTGGAACTATAAGTAGTATTAAGTGCTTATAGACCATCTGATTCCACCTTAAATAAATTACAGTGAATCCCTTTTGATTAAGAAGTTTGAGGTGTATCTATTACAACACGAAATAGTTTTTTAATAACAAACATTGCATGAGAGACGGCTTTCTCTAATCTGACTTTTCTTTTTAATCTTTTATTCTATTGACCCTTGGGTTCCCTTATGCTGTCCATGTACTATAAAACTAGTTATTTTAATAGATACAATGCATGCTGGGACATAGGAGCTTACTATAAAAGGAAGAGATGCCTAACAACTAATCAGTGCATTTCCTACCTCAAAATATTTCTTTCTCATATCAAAGAGAAATGGAAAGGGATGTTTGTGATCTTTCCTCAACATGGGATGGTGATAATGGCAATTCTGTGGAGAAAAGGCTCAGGTTATTTGGCTTTGAGCTAAATCCATCCAAGAATACCGAGGGTTGTGTCAAAGAGTCTGGTGAAGGAGATGAAAGTGTGAACTCCTCTAACTCGGTTTCATCAGGAGGAGAAAAAACTGTCCAAGAGAAAAGCTCAGCCAAAGACTCGGATGAGAGAAAGTTTGAGTGCCAATACTGTTTCAAGGAATTTGCAAACTCACAAGCATTAGGAGGTCATCAAAATGCCCACAAGAAAGAGAGAATGAAGAAGAAAAGATTGCAGCTTCAAGCTAGAAAGGCTAGCATAAACTACTACCTACAACCTTTTCAAACCAACCATGGCTTTGCATACCATGGCTCTGATACTCCTTGGTTCTATGATCCCTCTTCCTATAATTCCGAGTTCACCCTTTGTGAAGAACCTCAGATTAGCTTCAATTCAAATGTTTTAGATACCAACTTTTCTTATGATCACAAATCTAGTCGGTATTCTCTACCATCCCGCCCTCCTTCCCAACAAGATACTTGTATGTTTACTTTCTCTAATACAAATAATAGTCCTTTCATCATTAAGCCTTGCCACTTCCCTCCTTCAAACCAAAGCCGTAGTAAAGCTTTAGATCTTCAACTAGGCCTCAACTTGCAGTCAAACACAAGAAGCTCTTTGAGAAGGGCGTGACTTATTGTAGGACATATAGGTTAAATTAACAGTTTCCTTGTTTTCCTTGAATTATTTTAATGCATCACTTCTCAAACATCTGGGAAAAGGAAATGAGAAAAAAGTTTTAAAAAAAAAAAAGTTCACAATTCATTAGAGTTAGCTGGCCTTGAGTCACTAATGAGTCTGACTAATGATTGTTCAGACAATATATACAATATTACAATTCATATGATGTATTTATTATAGCATATAGCCATTTGATATTACATACACTTTTCTACGTTCACGGTACATGTAAACTGCTTCACCCTCTCAGTTCACGTTTCTATATAAGGCTGTCAAGTCCGAAAACTATGAATTTTTCAATCTGAAACATGGTGATAATACCAGGGATACAAGAAAAAGGAAGACAATAAAGACTAATATAATTTTAATAATAATGATTTTTTATGTTAAATTATTAATTTTTCATTTTGGTGACAATTAAGCTACGTGCATTATTGCTTATATCCTATTATTATCTCACTTAACTTGTAATTTTCCCATGTGTAATTGCTTGTATAACAAAAACAAGTTCACTAATAAATGAAATTAAACTTCTCAATCCAGTGTTTTGACTTTAGACAGTAGTGTGAATCTCAATCTAATATATACTACAAATATAATTAGCTTACAATTATGGAGTGGTCACACACATACATAGGTGTTGGAGTTTGCACATCAAAATAACTAGCAAGGTATTCAGCCTTACAAAGGTCAGAAACATTGTAATTTTGTAGAGACTAACGTTAAGTTCTCTTTTAGAACATAGAAAACCATTATTATATCATAAAGGAATAGTAAATTAGTACTTTACATGCAAAGTAAGATTTAGGATCCCACTGAAAAACACCTCATGATCGGCTTCATCTTATGTCCAAGAGGGGATGAATCTCACTCCATTATAACGTACTTCAAATACCTTTGATATTTTGAAAAATATATGAAATAAAATAATCGTACTCCTTTCGTCTTAGTGTTAATTAATTTGACTTTACTGTTTCCGATTAGCTCAAAATATCGTTCATTTGGTCATAGTGCTTATCCTCATCTAACCTGTATTGGCTACTCTTTTTAGCTTACCATATCTTCCTCTCTTTTTTTAATGTCCTATTATATTTTAATGCTTCCTACTCCTCTCCATTCATCATCAATTAACGAGTAAATTAACAATTTTATTTAATAAAAAGTAAATAAATATTTTAATATCTTAAATTATAAACAGCAATTACTTTAATATTTATATTTTATAAAACGTGACATTCATTTTAGTACTATTTTTGGTCCTTTATATAAAAATATTACAATTATATATTTTTCCAAAATATAAAAACAAAGATCTATTTTAAGACAAATTAATTGATAAATTATTTATTGGCATTTGTATTAACTAAAAATTCTATTTCATTATTCACATGAGTAGATTTATTCATTCATTTAACATATGTGTTATTAATTTGACCATTTACATATTATTATGGATATTTTTAAAATACACCTAAAGTTTATGATGTATAATAATTTTTTTATTAATTTAGATGAATTAAGTATTTACTTTTTATATAAAGGATTAAGAGGGTATTTTTTTATACAAAACAATAAAAAAAAATTAAAGGCAAAAGTAATATTTTTACAAAATTAAAAAGATTGATAGTTATAATTTAAAAGACTCTGAGTTAACTATAACAAACAAACTCTTACGGTAATTGGGGCTATCTATGGGGATATATGGTGGGAGCAAATAAAGGAGAATGCCTTGTTTTAAGATTCTATGTGCCAATAGAACAAGAAACCTAAGTCTAAGCTTTTACCATAGAATTTGATTTGATTAGTTTGCTTCAATAAAATTTTGGTAGCATTAATGTTTGTTACAGAACAAACCTAACCTATTACATCCTTAATTTAATCAGTCAGCGTTTAAATTAAATACTAAGACGCTCTCCTAACTCTATCTATATAAAATTATATTTAACTATAAATTAACTTATCACACTCACACAAATGATCAAAAACTATACATATCACACACATTTTTTTATTGTCAAACACTAGAAGACAAAATAAAGCTCCTTTTTAATTATCTTTCTTTAATCCTTTTCGTACCCAGCCGCCGGACACATGCTTGAATGGCATTATTTCTTAATCTTTATTAGTCTATGATTAATTAAAGAAAAAAATTTAAATTAAGCTCTTGAATATTGAGGGAGAGAAACAAAGTCAATAACGTCCGTTCTTTCTTATAATATTTGAATACTGGATAGTTGAATTTAATTTATACAAGAAAAAATTGTTCATGAGATAAAAAACAATTGCTTGACTGCACAAGATTTTTATTTGGGTAAATGAATGCACATTTATTTATTATTATTAATATTGGAAAGCAACTAGTCAAAAAATACTATTATATAACTGCACAAATGTTTATTTCCCTTCTTTCAAATAATATTTGAATACGTGCAGATTATAATGTTTCATATAAAATAAAAGGCATCAAAATTGAAAAGCTAATTAAGATAATGAAATGTCGAAGATGACAGAAAACGAAAAATTTAAACATAGCAACATAATAATGATAAAATATGTGGAGTTTGTCAATGCTATAACTCACACTTCAGATTTAATATATTATTATAAATAGATGCAGCAGACCTGATAGTAGGAATCCAGCAAAAGAAAAAAAGGATATTGATTGTAGATAGATGAAAGTTGTTTATATAACATCATCACATCAAGTATTAATAGACAATTTAACTTGTATAGCTATAGAGGTAAAATATTTCAAGTTTATAATTTTAATGTGCGCATGAAAACCCTTTTTAAACTTGAAGAAATTCAATTAGTTAATTAAATAGAAAATGCATTATTAATAATTTTTTTATGTATTATTAATAAACTGAGAGAATTACCCAGTCTTATAATCCCACATTCTCAATTAATATAAGATGTTTTAACATTATTTTATAATTAAACATTTATCGGCAGTCTGACATTAAAATTGAATAACTTCAAATATAATAAAATACTAATATTTTAAAATGGTGTGATGTATATCTCTCATCTTTATTGTAATTAGATTCAGTATCTCTTATTTTAATAAAAAATATTTTGTCTATTTGGATTGTAATTAATAATTAACGTAACTATTTTTTGTGGTATTGTATAATGTATACATGTATGCATATCTTATTTGTATAGTAAAGAAGGTCAATAACTTTCATTGCAAATCCTTCTATATAATATTGTATTTGATTTGTTAAATGATTTGAGATTCTTCTAATATGTTTTTGTTTTTTTTACTTTATGTTTCAATACAAAAGTGAAATCATATCATATAGATAAATAGTAGTATATATTTTGTTGGTATAAGTAAAGAATTTTTCTCTCTTTTAGAGGACCAATAAATAATATAAAGTAAGAAAAATTAATGAGTGTAGACATATTAACCTTTCACTCTTTTTTTTATAGTAAGAACATTCACATATCAATTTTGCATTAACTATTATTAGAATTTTCTCAGTGTAAATGTAAGGACGTATACTTCAATATTTAGACCCCTACGCACAACTTTAGCTAAATACTCATATTTAGGATATTGGATGATTGTAGAAAATGCATCCAATTATTAAATTACAGAATGTGGTTTCTTTGGGTAATTGTTTTCTTTTTAAAGATTTTCTAAATACTTTCTAAACAGAGTTTGGACAAATGAAACGGGTCAAGTTGCCCTTGTAAATTAAATATTTTTGCTGGGTCACAACGCAAATCTTGGATTTTCATTTCGTAATATGACCTTCTTATCTAGATTTCACTAAATTATTATAAACATGTTCATGCATAGTTTGTATTTATTTATCAATAATATAAGTATATGATCCCCACTTTTAATAACTTTTTATTAAAAATATATTTTATCAGTTTAATTGTTTTATAAAGTAAATTAAATTTACACAATTTTGATAAACTCCTTTTTATTAAAAAAAGTACTAATCCCACAGTGAATGATGAGCACTTATTCAACAATTTTTATTATGATTTTTATTTAATCGTGTTTTTGCTAGATAACCCTATTTTATACTTTGTTTGAATTATTCTCCTCCTAGCTAAAGTTAAGATGGGTGGCTTTTAAAAAATTAATTCCATTAAGTTGCTTTCCAATTTTAGTCACATTTTTATACGAATTGTTACCCACGTTACCATTCTAGACTCTTTTCATAATATAACAAAATATACAAATAGAATAAAAATCAACTTGATTAGGAGTAATAATCATCCACTAAACTACTGTGTAAAATATATAGTTAGTCGGTCCAATGAAGCCCCATGCATTTGATTGGTCGTAATTGGAATGGTGCCCAAATTATAATATTGATTTCTTGATGGCTTTACTAATCATTCATACTTTGAATACTAACTTCTAATTATATATGTTATTTATGTATCTTATGGCACGCACTGAGCCTTCCATGCCATACCAGCACTGCTAAGTAAATTATTTTAATAATCTCTATATAATTATACTTGTTTACGCTTGTTATCCAAGAACACATGATCACACACGTATCCTTAAACAATGGAAAAGAAAATGAAGTTTGGAAATAAATTAAAACTCTTTTTTGAACAAAGACTACAGTGTACTTATTATTATACGATAATTATGAGAATCTTTATCTTAAAAGATAAATATTTCAAACGACGAAGCTAAGACAAAACTAAGTGGCGTGGTTAGGAATAATTAATTAAATAGTTTTTTTTTTCAATAACTACAACGTATTATTCATTGTGGTCAATAATTGCAGAATAAAGCTATTATCTATAATTGTAGATCAAATTATATTGTGTGTGCCATCGTACTGAGATTATCACTGTCGATTATTTTTACTATAATTATACGTACGAGTGTCGTTGATGGACTGCTAATGTAGTTCTTCTATAATTTTAATTTAACTTGTATTGACATATCATTCAGTAAATTTTATTGCGTTAACAGA